TTGCTCAAGGGAACCTGAAGAGGAAGGAATGGCTCTGGCCCTGGAGAGTGGAGGGTGGAGGCCTGTGGCAAGAGGAGATAGCCCTGCGATGTACTCAGGGACAGGTCTTGGAAGCCACTGCATGGACTGTGGAATGCTTTTAAAGCAGGAGTGTGATGCAATCAGATGTACAAGTGAGACTACTCTGACTGCAGGGTAGAAACAGGTCTTGTTGTGGGGGAAGGGGAAGGGGAAAGGAAGGTTATGTTAAAAGGAAGCCACTGAATACTAAATCTTTTGAAGCTTAGCCTGAAGTGGGAAAACGGCTTGCGACATATAAAATGGGCAGAATGACATTTAGGATTCCAACAGCCTGATTAGGAGCCCTGTTTTTGAAACAAATTGAACTCGTGTGTGCTTAATCCTCAGGTCTATTTGGCTCCTTGGTGAGCTTCTTGAGGATGCTCTCATTTGCACCTGCAGTGCCTTGCATGGTGCCTGGCACACAGTGCTTGTACAGAACTGTTTGGACATGTGATGTGTTCGGAGGAGTTTTGCCTGTGGTTTTGAGTGGCAGCAACTTGGGAGGGAGACAGTGGTCTGGAGTGACATGGGAGCTTCCAGGGGGTGCTGGCAAGATGATAGCTGATTCTGGCTTGTGATATTCCTTGGTTTTTATGCCACAAAACACTCATCACTGTTGTCTTTGTGCTGGTAATTTCTGGGTTAGTTATTGAAAAATATAAAGGGAGAGATAAATATTCAAACAAAATTTAAAAACCTCGCTTAAATGTTAATAGCATTTGATCCCAAGAGGCTTCCATTCTAGTTAATGTATTTTGCCTGATTACTATGGACTTGTTTGAGGTTTTGATCCCTACCTTTAGTAAAACAAATCTTTGAGTGATTAGGGTCAAGACACTGAGGGAGCCTGGGTGGCCTTCTGTAACTGTGGACTGATATTGTAGGGACGTAGTGCTTCAGTGGTCATACCTTCATTTAGTTTGTGACTAATAATAACCTATTTCTGTATTATAAGGTATTTACATGAAACTTGACTGGCAATATAGAGCCTCTCTGCAACTTAATTGTGATAAGTACTGGTTATTTTTTCTACCTAACACAGTAAAATTCCATCAAATTTTGCTATTGAGATTTTGGTGGGTTGGCAGTTCCAGTGTTTAGGCTCGAAGCTTTGGGACAGACCTTATACTACATTGGTATAGGGCCTGATAACTTAACAGGTAGCACCTGAATGAGTATTTAGGAGGATTCAGAGAGTATTTAAACCATAAAACTGGGCTGGGGATGTGGCTCAAGTGGTAGCGCGCTTGCCTGGCATGCGTTCGGCCCGGGTTCGATCCTCAGCACCACATACAAACAAAGATGTTGTGTCCGCTGAAAAGTAAATATTGAAATTCTCTCTCTCTCTCTAAAAAAAAAAAAAAAAACATAAAACTAACCATACCAAAAAAAACCCAAAAAACAAACTAACCATACCCCATATTCTCTAGTTGTGTAGTTCACCATATATGAACAGTGGACCCCCATTTCATGACGGTAACCAGCCTTGAATTTTGAATCCTTCTGTATTTCTGTTTGGAAGTTATTTGGTGTCTATTTGGTCCTCTGTGGAGTTCAATGGAATTGGAAGGAATGGCCTACAGCCATGAATTTCATGCCACCTAAGTGTGTGCGTGCGGGTACATGATAATTCTTATGCTTTTCCTAAAGAAATGACACCTACTTATTGGCTCTTTCAGTTATTTAGAAAGAGGTGTTTTCTTTTTAACCAGTCTTAGGAGAATTTTAATAAGTGTGCATCCAGGATCCTACCCTTCAACAGGTGACAGTATTTTATTTTTAATTTAATTTAATTTTTTTTTTTTTTTGCTACCGGAGATTGGATCCAAGTGCACTTAACCACTGAGCCATATCCCCAGCCATTTTTTATTTTTTATTTTGAGACAGGGTCCCACTAGGTTGCCCACAGCCTGGCTAAGCTGCTGAGGCTGGCTTTGAATTTGCGATCCTCCTGCCTCAGCCTCCCAAGCCACCGGGATTACAGGCATGTGCCACCATGCCTGGCGACAGTGTTTTATTGTACCCTGTTACAGACACAGCGATTTATTATAGCCTGTTAAAATCACAGTGTATAACTTTAACATGAAGAAATTGAAGCTAATAAAATAATCTTGGAGGTATGAATTCTGGAGAGATACCCACTTGATGGACTATGTTATCTTAAAATTTTAGTCTTGTTCTTATTAAATGTACAGTTTTATAGGTAGTCTCAAATGTTGAAAATTTGTGTATTACCTGATCCAGTTAAAAATTTAAAATCCAGTTAAATATTGAAAATTTATTTTTCAAGGAGATTATATCTATTTGTATATTTGGTAGTGGTTATATAGAAGAGGTTATTAAGGTACATTGCTACAAAATTTATATTGTAAAGTGGATGGAACATTGATTTTTCTAATATATTTAATATTGGATGAAACTACACGCGTGAATATGTATACACACACACACACACACACATATTGCTGGCTTAAAATCTGATAGTCTTTCCCTTTCTGAAGAAAGTGTTTCTAGGTGTGTCTTTAATCATTAGTTTTCTGGGTTTTTTTTTTTGGCGGGTGGAGGGGGAGTAGTGGTGCTGGTATTGAACCCAGGGGAACTTTACAACTGAGCTAACTGCCTTAGAGTCCTTCAGAGTCCACATTCGGTGTCCCACCTTGTCTAGCCCCATCTCTTACTGGTGTGCTTTTCAATTGTCACTGCTTGAAGTTCCAGGGACTCATGGCATTCCCTTTTCCTCCTTTGTTTTACTTGACTTGCTCAATCTCTCTTTGTGTTTTGAAATGCTGAAGAATTAAGACAGGGCTGCTGGCAGGAGTTGTATGTAACTCAGTGATACAGCCCTTGCCTAGTATGCGTGAGGCTCTGGGTTTGATCCCCAGCACTGGGAACGAGGGGGGAAAAAAACAACTAAGAGGCCAAAAAAACCACCTAATCATCCACCTGTCAGCTAGTCGCTCATTCACTTTGCTTGGTTCATATCTCCTCTGAAAAGGTTGCTATCTGGCAAAGTTGGACCATATTTGATCTTTGGATAATGGCTCTTTAATAACTGTCCAGGAAGATCAGATTGATTTTTGTCAGGATAAAAAATAATAATAATCTTCAGGGTTGTTCATTTATTCATTCATGCATCAAATTTTTATGGACATCCAAAACTTGCCAGGGTGGATTCTAAGCACAGAGGACATGGCATTGAACAAAATACTTCATTCTTTCCTCATTGAGCTGTTCTAGTTGATCAAGGCAGAAAGTGAAGTAACAAATAAACCAATATAGTCAATGTAAGATCTGGAGTTCCAGAAAACAGTGTAAAGTGCACCTTAGTCGCTCACCTCAGATGTGTGTTCCCCTTGAACTTGAGTGGATGGGACTAAGAACAGGACTGGCCTGACCATTGCAGTGTAGGACAGCACAAAACTTTGTCAGTTATTCTCTGTGCCCTCTGTGCTAGTGATTGTTTAGCCTTGGAATGTGAATATCACACAGGTATTGTATTCACATTAAAGCCTGTACCTGGACATTCACTGGAGCATTATTCATTATAGCCAAAAAGTAGAAGGGCTCAGAGTGTAGCTTAGTGGTAGCATTTTTACCCCACATCATGAGGCCCTTCATTTGATCCCAAGTACCATTAAGGAAAAAACAGTAAAAACAACCCAATGTGCATTAGAATCCTTTACTGAATATATTTCAGAGCTTAACTTGGGAGTAGTAAAGGCTCTACCAAAATTAAATCACCTTGACCCTACTTTTACCAAAAAGGGTCAAGGTGATAAAAGGTAATATATATGATATAATTCTGCTTTGTGTTGTTGTAAGAACTTAATTAGCCTGTGAGAATGTGATTCTTAAATGTTCATGATCAGTTCCCTGGAGGACTTAATTTTTGTTAAAAAAAAAAAAACATTCAGTTCTGAGAAATACGTAGATTTCAACTGATAATTTGCCCTGCCAAAGTCAAGCCACAGTTTCTACATATACGGAATTGTTATTTTAAATTAAGATAGAAGGGGGCTGGAGATGTGGCTCAAGCGGTAGTGTGCTCGCCTGGCGTGCGTGCGGCCAGGGTTCGATCCTCAGCACCACATACAAAGATGTTGTGTCCGCCATAAACTTAAAAAAAAAAAATATTAAAATTCATTCTCTCTCTCTCTCTTTAAAAACAAACAAACTGGTATTTAGCCTATAACACCACAATCACAAAAGGCTCTTTAAAAAAAAAAAAGATAGAAGCAGTTTCTCCTCTGAAAGTGGTTTTTTAAAGGTTCACATCCATTTATGAGCTTGGCATCCCACTAATGCTGAGTTGCTTTTACAACTGTGTCATCAATGTGCCATTGAGGCTCATGGAAGGAAATAAACTTATTGAGGCTCATGGAAGGAAATAAACTTGTTTGTGTTACACATCGTGCAGCATCTTTTTGAGGGCCAGTGGAAATTTTTCCCTTTGGTCTTTCTAAGAATGGTTATGCTTCTCAGCATCTTTCAGTCTTCGTATACCATGTGGTTGATCATCTGTCTTTGTTACCATAAACTGTTGGGAGGCCTGAGGTCCAGTGTGTGTCTCACCTCTGGGAAGTCTCGGACATCTTTTAAACCTTCTTGTACCACCCTCTCTCTTCACTCCAACTTTGTTTTCTACTCTTTTTTTTTTATCTTGGCCAATTCATATTTTTTCTTCTTCTCCTTTTTCTGGCTGTGCCTATTTCTAAGAGTTGCTTTTTCTAATTTGTTAGAAGACAAATGGGTTAAATTAAGCAACAATACTGCCATTATTGAAGCCAAGATTTAAAAAAAAAAAAAAACTATAGCAATTACCTTCAACTTTCCCTCCATATCAGGGTGGGTGAGAGAGAAGGTGAAATTGTCAGAATTCAAAAGCTCTTTCTTCCTCTAGAAGCCTTCTTAGTGTCTCTTTAACTATCTTTTAACAGAAGTTGGCGAAATGGCAAGGCAGTACCTGGAGAAAGGTCTTTTGGTTCCAGATCACGTGATCACACGCCTAATGGTGTCAGAGCTGGAGCTCAGGAGCGGCCAACACTGGCTACTGGATGGTGAGTGGGCTGTGGGGTGAGCTGGATTTCCTGGTTGTGGTTTCCTTACATTGGAAAGTGCTATTCTTCCCTCTAAACTCTCTTGTCATGTATTCAGTGTTAGGATTTGGCAGCATAGAAACTCACCGTGGTGAATCCTCTTAATTCTCCGTTTCCAGACCACCGTCATGAGAGCCCTGACTTGAAGTAACCTTTCATGGGATTGTTGGTATTGTTCCAGTTTCCATGGTGCCCTGTTTCCATGACTCAGTCACCTTAAGTATACCTCATCTTAAATTCGAGGTTCTTTCATTTACCAGGGACTACACAAATCACAACCATGAGTCACTAGTTTTCACCTGGTGGATTAACAGAACATCTGCAAACCTTTTACTGTTGAGCTGTCACATGGACAGCCTTTGGGGAGCAGTTTAGCGATGTGTATACTTTTCCATCTGGCACTTCTATTCTGTATTTCTTCCTAAAGAGGAATCTTCAAGCTTGTTTATTTCAGCATGATTGGTAAATAGTAACAAACTGTCCCTGCTCTTAAGGGGCTTATATCCCAGTAGGGGAGTCAGTTGTATAAAGAAGTACAAAGAATTAGTTCCTAAGCAAATCATATGGATGAGTTACTAGATGTCCTCAGGTAGCTGAATGAGTTGGGAAAGCAGATTTAATTTTTTTTTTTTTTTTTTTTTTTTGCAGAGAGTCAATGTGTACAATTTAAGAGGGGCATGACTATGCTTAGTATTCTCCTAAACCTACCAGCAGAATAAGTCAGGAGGCTAACCTTTGATTCTGTACAAAAAGGGTGAGACTGGGAATTTCTCATCATAGTGATTACTGAAGAGTTATTAAATAGGGGGTACAACATTATCAGATCAGATCTCTCTCCTGTCATGCAGTGCAGGAGAGATGGAGTGCTGGGGCAGGAGGGAGAGTGGCAACTAGAAGCCAGAGAAGACATCCTTATAATCACTGGACTAATGGATATTCTAGGCCTGAGTTTAAGCAATGGCAGTAGGATGGAAAGGAAGCACCACATGGGTGAATAGACTGAGGAGGGAGGATGGACAGGAGTCATGGGTGGTATAGTGTGCTATGACTCTGGGACGTTCTCCATTGTCATCCAAGGCTTTTTGAGGCTTTTGGCTATCATCATAAAAGTAATTTATGTAGATTCTGTGCCTTTAACTCACTAAGGCAAGCTCCCCAGTACTTTCTGGGTGAGCATTTGGCACAGCTGATGAATTCTATCTTTGCCATCACCTCACGGTCATTTCCATAGTTTCAATTCTTTGTTCGGCTTTTCGTCTTGTAACTGAACTTGTGTGGTTTTAGTGAATTTAAAGATCTAAGTTAAGAGAGGATCACCTATGATCACCTTTCCTTTGGAGATGATCATAGCGCATGGGACCTCGTATCAATCTGCGCAATTTGAATCCCAGCTCTGCCTCTTCCTGGTTGTGTTTGACCTTGGGCAGGTCACCTCACCTCTGTACATCAGATTCCTCATGGAAAATGGATGAGGAGGAAAGCCTTTTCATAAGGATCAAGTGAGTGAATATATGTTAAGTGCTTAGAAGAGTACTTGCCATGCAGTTCGTGCCTTGAAATTTTCTTCATTTTTATCATTTGTGCTGGCTGGTGTGCAGGTCCAGAATTTTGGTGGGGGATTTGGGGGTGGGGGGTGTGACTACTTGAAGTATTAATCTCAAAAACAGTTCTAAAAATATTTAGCTGTTCAGAGTCAAAGTCAAGTTACAGCCATGGAATGTGCTTGCTTTTGCCATCATCGTGCCTCTCGGGGTGAATAACTGAAGTTCTTTTACATCGCAGTCCTGTTTTTAGTAGAGTGCGTCAGTCTCCCAACTGATTTAGTTTGCATCTTTCTCCTTGAAAACCCATCTGGTCACTTTCAGTTGTGATTTTTCTTTAAAGCTCTGGAAGCCATCCATTTGGCCAAGGGAGGAGTGTGAAGAATGGCTGGTTCCTGTGTTCAGCTTGAAACTCCTTCTGTTACAGGGCATGTGCTCGTGCGCCGCGGAGGACGTGCCTGTTGAGTGTGCTAAAGGTGATTGAATGTGGAAAGGTCAAGGAAGGAATTCTGGGTGGTGGGTGACTCATCATCTGGTCCATATGGCTGGAGAGGCATTGTGCTAACGGTGGGTGGGAGGAGGAGAGTGGAAGCAGGCCAAGGGAACACCGCGCCTGGGAGGTGGGGGGTGCTCCGGGTTTGGACAGCTCTGGCCTTGCTAAAAAGCTCAGCACTGCCATGTCTTCACAGTAGTTGGAGAAGAAATACTCTATTGTTTTGTGTATGGGGGAGAGGTGAAGGAGCAGGAGAAGGAGGAGGAGGATTTTTCCCCTTGAGGATTGTAATATACAAATGACCCTTGCAATTTTGTTATAAGATCCTTTTTTTCCTCTTCTATGAATAAGGTGTTTACTTCTGACCAGGTGCTCCCAAGGCAAAATGATAACTAGGGAACCATCAGGTATTTAAAACTAAATACTGGGCGGGAGTTATAGCTCAGTGGTAGAACCCTTACCCAGCATGCGTGAGGCCCTGAGTTCATCCCTTAGCACCACACAAAAGTAACATGAAGTGAAACACGTGTGAATGTGGAAAGGTTTTCACTTATTTTAAAAAGTGCCATCAGTGAGCTCAGTGGCTCATGTCTGTAATACTAGCAAGTTAGGAGGCAGAGGCACGAGGATTTTAAGCTCAAGGCTAGCCTCAGCAATGTAATAAGGCCCCAGGCAATTTGGTAAGACTCTTTCAAAAACAAATAATAGAAAAGGCTGGAGGTGTAGCACAGTAGTAAAACACCTGGGTTCAATTGCTGTGGGGAAAAAAAAAAGTGGGGACATTGAGGTCAGGTCAGTGGGGAAATATATATTAAAGGTCTTCATTTCTTAACTTGACTGTCAATCAGTGCATTTAAAGAGGAACTTTCAGGTTCTCCCATTTAGCCCTAATTTTTTAGGTGAAGGCATCAAAATATTTTAAACTTGGTATATTAGTACATTTTCATTGCTGTGACAAAATACCTAAGCTGTGTAACTTATAAAAAGAAAAGGTTTAGTTAGGTTGAAGTTTTGAAGGTCCAAGAGCATGGTACTGGCCACCATGGTTACATCATCATATCATGGCAGGAGCACATGTGAGAGGGAGATCCCATTGTGAGACTGGAAGCCAGAGAGTGGGGTCAGTCTTATTTTTTTATCCTTCACAAGTCACTCTCATGGGAATCAACTGGAGTCTGAAGAGAACACATTAATCTCTTCTAAGGGCAGCATTCCCAACCACCTGATTAATCTCTTCTAAAGGCAGCATTCCCAACCACTTTCCACTAGGTTTCACCTTTAGAAGGTGCCATCCCCTCCCACATTGCCACATTGGGGAAGCAAGCTTAAATCCGTGAACCTCTGGGGGACACAAATAACCATATCCGGATCATAGCATTTGGTTTCATGGAGAGCAGCTTTAAAATTGGGAAATTAAAGTGGAATATAAGTCTTTAATTGGAGATAAAGATAACTTCAGAATGATAGTCATCATTTGGTCTGTAGTTGTATTTGGACTATGTTCTATTTTTTTTCTTCTTTTGTCTGACCAGTATTGAACACTAACTGATGCTTTCTGAAGGAAATTAAAATTTCTTTTTATTTTAATGCAGAAGCTAACACTGCTTAAATATGTGCGGTGATGTGGGTTTGTTTTTTTTTTTTTCCCCTTACCATCTGAGAGTTAAAGATCTTATCAGATATTCCAGGGTATGTGCTCACTTAGAGCTCTTTGTCTCCTGGAAGGAGGTCTCTGTCCAGAATGTAAACTACAGATGAGGAGCTAGGAGTTTTGCCCTGATCTTGCAAATGTGTTTTACCATACTAGACTGATGCATAACTGCTCTGACCTTATTTCCTCCTATTTTTCTTTGTGAAGCCGACCTCTGGAGAGTGTCATATCCCACTGGGCAGCATATGTCTACTGGAAAAAAAAAAAAAAAGCAAAAAACCCAACAATATATTCTGAATTGCATCTCTTAGGAATGCCAAGGGCAATATTTTTCTGTTGTCCTTGTGGATGCAGGTTATGTTTCAAGAATAAAATGTATAATAGAAGTGTTTGGAAGGTCACTGAAAGGTTCTCTTGGAGTGAAAAGTGAGCCAGGTGTGGTAGTGCATGCCTGTAATCCCAGTGGAAACTGTGTCAGGAGGATTGCAAGTTCAAGGCCACCCTCAGCAATTTAGTGAGGTCCTAAGCAACTGAGCGAGACCCTGTCTCAAAAAGAGCTGGGGATGTGGCTCAGTGATTGAATGCCCTTGGGTTCAATCCCTTGCGTAAAACAAACAGCAACAACAATCAAAAAAAGAAATAGAACTGTGCATGGTGGCACGTTTATAATCCCAATCTATTCAGGAGGCTGAAACAGGAGGATGGCAAGTTTGAGGTCAGCTTTAGCACCTTTGGGAGACCCTGTTGCAAAGTTAAAAATGAGAAAAGAAAATGAGAGGGACTTTGTAGCTCAGTGGTATGCTTAGCATGCTCAAGGCCCTAACTTCTATCCCCAGCACTACAAATATATACATACATACATACATAAATAGAAAATAATCATCCTGCTGTATGTGTGTATGAGGGTCCTAGATATTTTTTTTTCTCTCTCTTCAGTACTAAGAATTGCTACCAACTGAACTGCATTTCTAGTCCTTTTATGTTTTTTATTTTGAGACAGGGTCTTATTTGTTCTTTGGGTACTGGGTGTCTAACCACTTAGCCACATCTCCATCCTTTTTTTATTTTTTATTTTGAGACAGGATCTTGCTAAGTTGTTGACGATGGCTTTGAACTTGTGATCCTCCTGCCTCAGTCTCCCAAGTTGCTGGGAGGACAGGTGGGCGACACCATGCCCGGTTGTCCCAGATATATTTCTAAAGTGAATAAAGCATGGGTCTGACTGGCTTTGCACTGACTGACAGTGAAGGAAAAAGGAGAGATCTGTTGGAAAGGA